TATTTTCCAGCGTGTAGGTAGAATGCCGAATCATCTTCGACAACGTTCATACCTAGGTACTGGGTCACGGTGTCTGACACCGTGAGTGTTAAGTCACTCCTCAGCTCCCCTTCGAACCAGGTGACGATGTCGGTAGTGGAGCCGACGTAGAGCAGGTCATCGACGTAGACGATGAGTAGGACGAAATCCCCCCCCTTCTGTAGTCGGTACATCCCTTGGTCGTGCGGCAGCTGGAGGAAGCCGATCCTGACGAGGCGGTTGTGAAGGTGCTGCTGCCAAAGCCGCGGGGCTTGTTTGATTCCGTAGAGGGATTTTATCAGCTGGCACACTTTTGTGGGATCGTCGATGAATCTGTGGGGCTGCTCGACGAAGATTTCGGCGTCGACAGGTACGTACAAGGAGGCGTTGGCGACGTCGATCTGGCGTAGTTATAGCTTTTTCATGGCCGCGATGGTGAGCAAAATGCACAGGGAGGTATGTCGGGAGACTAGGGCGAATGTTTCCGTGTAGTCGGTTCCGTATCGTTGATCAAATCCTCGTACGACCCATCGAGCCTTGAAGCGGTCGATGGAGCCATCCGCATTAGTCTAGATGCGGTACACCCACTTCCCCGAGAGCACGTTTTTCCCGTTGGTCTTTGTCGCAGGTACCGCTTTCCACGTGTTTCGGTCTTGCAGGGCCTTCAGTTCTCTTTCCATTGTTTCCTTCCATTTCGCCTTGTGTTCCCCCCCCTAAGCCTGCGACAGAATCATTGGCTCGCGCGGCGATGGCGGCGGCGGGCTCTGGACGGCGACCCATATTCCAAGTATCTGCAGGCCCGTGGGTGTGTGTCGAGGGGAATTTCCATTCCCGGGATAAGCTGCTTTGTCACCATCTTTGGGGTCAGGTAAGAAATTTGGTCCGATGCGTTCAGAGACATTTGTGTTGACCGGTTGAGGTGCCGTGTAACCCTGGTCAGGGAAGTGGTCATAGGTGTTGAGGTTGTTACTATCGAGAGGGTTGTCGTCGTCGCGTAGAACGGGCACGGAGCAGTTAGGGAGTGGTCCGGCAGCTTCCGAGGCTTCAGGGATGTCTTCTTCTGCTGCGTCAGCTTCAGCAGCACGGTCGGCGAAGGACCGATGGCCCTCGAAGCCGTCGGTGGGGTCTGTTGTGTTGGCGACGTTGTCCGGGTAATGCTGCAGCGTCAGTCTCTCGTAGAAAATCACTTCACGTGAGGCCACAGTGTTTTTGTCCTGGATGTCGATGAACGTGATGACGTATTTGTATTCGGCTTCACTGTCATCTCGAGGCATGTTCAAAATATCGCTGTAGAAATTTTCCATCGGTGCGTATGCAGGTGCGCTTGCATTGTGGTGAGACGGAAAAGGTTGATGGGGAAGATCAGCTTCGGGGAACGTGAAGCATCGTGCGCGAGGTCGTCGAAGCTCCTGGCCGCTTGTTGTGAGGAGAGCGTCTTTTTCTAATACTCTGGCTTGTATGGTTTGAAGGATTGTCCTGTTTGCAGGGTGTCCGAGGCGTTGATGCCAGATGTCGTCGGGAGCGCGATGGCCGCGTGAGCGCTGATACAGGTCGGCGTTGGAGAAGAATGCAACGACTGTAGCGGGACTGCGGCAGACTCCTCGGGTGATGGGCATGAGCTGATCTGCTTCGGTTGGTGGTCCTCGGATTGCTAGGGATGGCGCACGGCTGGGTCCTGCTGCTGCTACTGCAGGTGATGTCGAGGAAGGGGTACTTGCTGGTAATTGTCATTCTTGTCGAATGACTGCTAATGCTCGTGTTCTCTCTGCTGCAGGGATGGTGTTGGAGTACCAGAACCCGCCTGGACTGAGGTTGGGGTCAAGATCGGGTGGGTGCGTCCAGACGGCGAATGACACGATGCCGTCGCTGTCGGCAGTACCACGGTCGGGGACGAAATCCAGTACGAAGACGCCCGACTTCAGGAGAGCACGACCGATGATGAGGCCGCCCTTCCCGTGATAAAGATGAAACTCGTTGGCGTACGAGTCGCATTCCAGGTGAATTCCCTTCGCCATTAACTGATTGACGCTTAGTAAATTGTATCCCAGATTGTCGACGATGAGAACTTTGTTGAGTTGCAGTATGACGTTTGTCTCCATTGACTGAAGCTAAACGACTCCTTGTCTCTTTGTCTTCTGGTTTTCATTGTTGGCGACGGTGATGATAATGTCGCGGTTAAGGCATCGTTCTCGTTGCACAAAGCGCCTTGAGGAACACATACAGTATGTTGACCGCATAAACTGTCCAAGAACCAGGTGTTTCGCCCGGTGGGTTCGGCGTTGGCGACTGCAGCATACGTGGGGTTGACCTGAAGACCTTCTGAGCACGGCGACGGCAGCTCTTCTTCGTCTGGAGTGTAAGTGGGTGGTGACCCGGGTGTGCAGTTCTCGATGCGTACCATGCAGTTGATGATATTCGGTGTGCCTTGTGCAGGTGTAGAAGAACGGCTTGGCGGATTCACTTGAGTGGAGGCGACTTGCGGATCTGCAGGGCGATAAACTCGAGGGCGTGTGCAGTCGACCTTGGAGTGCCCGGATGTCTGACAGTTGTGACAGAACGGCAGCACGATGGTGAGACCTCTGGTGTCGTATCGGTTCCGCTTGTCACGTCGATTGAAGTTGTCGTTTCTTCTGTGAGTGTAGAAGACTAACGGTTGCTGATTGCTTTGTGGTTGTCTTTCTTCAAACAGGTCCATCTCCTGTTGTTCAACATGAAGCTCGGTGCAAAGGTGCATCTCGGAAATTCGTTCATGGGCGCAAAGAAGTGCGCGGGTGGTTCTCCATTCTAGTCCGAGCCTGGCGAGAACAAGTGTCACGAAGCTTTCTTCAGTGATTGTGCCTCCGCACCGAAGCAGGCGGTCGCGAAGTGTCTGGCAGCGACTCATATACTGCATCGCCTTTTCCCCGGTCTTCATTTGTATTGTTGTCAGCTGCTGCATGAGTCTGCTTTGTGTCACACTGTCGTTTGCTTGATAGAGACATTTCAGATGATGCCAGGCTAGCTCCGCGGAGTTTCCGTAGCTCCGATACGTTCTGATGCTTTGTTGCTCTTGTGGTGACAGGTTTCGCAGGAGAACTGTATATGCTAGTAGCGACTGATATGTGAAGATTTCCTGCTCCTTTGCAGTGCCATTGCTTGGAAATGGCAGGGGCCCGTTGAAGTATCTCAAGAGGTGCGCGGCCTCCATTAGCAACTCGAACTCAAAGCTCCAGCTAAAAATGTCGTGCCCGTTGAACGGTGAAGATGTCTGTAGTTTGATCACATGTGAAAACTGCGCCTGGAGACTTAATATCATGTTTGGTATTTGTTGTGATGCAGTTGCTGTCGGTTGAGCACGGGGCGGCACGAACTCGAATGTCCTTGGTGAAGAGTAATAAGGCGCAAAGGTAGGCGCCTGGTTGTGTCGCCCGAATGATGAATTGTTGAGGCTCATCGGTGCTAACCCCATATTTCCTCCGTTGCTTTGTGTTGAATGCGCAGGTGTCCTTGTCTGCTGCTGCTCGAAGTACGACATGAAGCTGAAGAACCTTTCCATAAGGTTCGGGTCCACGCTTGAAGAGGGTGAAGGGGTCACCATCAGGGCTCAAAATTGGTTTAGGGGCACCCTTAGTAATCAGTGTACCTAAAACAAATTACCTTGTCTCTTAGGGTAAATTTTTCGCCACCCTTTGAAAATCAGGGTAAATTTGTAAAAAACTATGAGTAGCCTGATTGTACAGGGTACTAAAATTATCACCCTGTCCATTGGGTTCAGTCCCAGATAAACGGGTAACGTTCCAAATAAACCCATTTTGTTCGGGCCCCGCGAGAGATATACCCGGATCTGCCGTGTGGACGAAACCCTAAGGTAATCTCTGGCAGGATCCCCCTTCCCCGCCCCTGCTACTGTATGTCGAATCTCCCTCCCACCATCCCCAGCTCGATTCCCCCCACCCCTGCAATCTCAGTTTTCCCGCCCCTGAAATCTTTCGATTCTTCCCCAGCCTCCGCCCGCACGTGTCCTGATTTCGCCCAGCACGAGCAAATTCGTATTTATCTCGCCAATCAAAATTTGAGTCCATGCGTTTCGTTCTAACGCGTCCCATCCGCCTAATGACCCTCTAGCGTTCACAAATTCAACTCGAAACTTTTTGTTTCCCCCTGTCGCACGTTACGTTACCGCAACTAAACTGGACTGTGACAATCAGAAACTATACAAGGTTTTATCTGAATTTTCAGAAATCGATATTCATTTCGTCTGGGAAATCAGGAAAAGAAAATCCGCGCATCTAATGATCAGACGGGCCCGAAGCCCGTCTGATCATCAGAAAGTGGAAAAAGCCTAGGGAGGACCCTGCTCCGGTTGCGACCCTTCGAGTCCCTTCGTCCTTTCGTATTCTTTCGTCCAACCTCCTCGTGTAACCTCCGTTAGCTCGCGTACTAGATACGACTTTCCTCGAGTGTAGTGTTTACACTTCAGAAACGCTTAAAATCCGCGGCCCAAATTGCGAGGCGCGGCCTTCAAACGCACTGCGTTTGAAAGTAGCGCTTTCGTGGGTCTAGAGTGGGGTAACGTGAGTCTCGCCACTCTGGGGGTGCCTTTCAAGTTCACTGCGTGCTGCAATTTGGAACTCCATGTGTAGCACGTTTTTCGACCGTCCATTTCGTACAGATCTGCATCTGACGGTTCGCGCGCAGACTCTTCATTCCAAAGCACCACCAGTAATTTGAGGCTCGATCTCAACCGTCCAAAAACTTGGGGTCGAATCTGACGGTGCACGAACACTTGACAATTCACGAGGAAAAACACGCTCGCGATTTCCCGTGCGTTTCGTAAAACAGCACACCCAGAGTTCTTACAGTGCGTTTGAACAATTTGGGCCACGGGCTTTAAGTCCTCGAGGTATTTCCAACACACGTGCCCTAACAAAATTCGGTGCGACCCGGAACTTCAATATTCTCCGCTAAACTAGATATTTTCTTTAGGAGTTGGGGGCTATGTGCGAGAATACCATGAGATATGGCTTATGGTTACTCAAGAGTCAGGCATGTAATTGCAGTTTGTTGAAGAGAAAGGATGACAAAAGAAACCCCCTATATGCTCATTGTAGCTTAACAAATCACCCACCCCTTGCTCAAAGCTTGGAAATTCCCTCACCCATGCTCAACGCGTGCATTTGTTCCTCTTCATCCTGTAACCCTTCTTGCACAAACAGGCAGGCTTGGCTTGGACCACCACACACCTTGCATTGGTGGGGCATGCAGGCTTGCAAAGCGCTGCCAAGAGAGCAGGGAGAAGGGTAAACGGACAAGAGGAGCATAGAAGAGCATGATCAGGAGCAAGAGATAGAAAGAGGAGCATGATAGGGAACGGGGTAATATAGGATTGAGAAATGCATTTCCAGCCCCCAATAAATGTTGGGAAACCATTGAGCAACTGTTGAACAACCTCCGGAAACTCCTTTCCCAGCTAGCCAGTACATATACGATTGCTCACTAAAGCATACGCCCCACGCTCACCAGTGCAAAGGCCGTTCCTCTTGGTGTAGCCAGCATCGCAGTCACAAACCCCCCTCCCGTCCTTCACTCTGCACTGCGCATTCTGCGGGCACTGCACTGATGCACAGGGGTCTGGGGCTTGCACGGAGGCAGGGAGGGGAGCGGAGACAGAAGGGTCTGGGGCTGGCGAGGGGGGGGGGCGGGGAAACAAGGGAGCGGACAGGAAGGAAGAAAGGGAGTATCAGGCTTGCCTGGCTAGCCTCTTGCAATTGGCTGTCAGAGGCAGAAGGTCCCTCCCTCAGAGGCAACAGTGTGTTTGAAGAGGTTTAGAAGCAAGTGGGTGAGTGGAAAGAGGGTGGTCAGCTCACCAAGGCACTAGCTGCCTTATGAGTCGACTCAAAAGTCACCTCACCAAGGCACTCACTGTGTGTCTTTCATCGCGACCCCTCAATGCAGCACATCACATGGCAGCACACGCACGGCTCACCATTGCATGTCTTGTCTTGAGCGTTGAAGACAAGGCTCTCCTTGCACACGCACTCGGGAGTGCCATCAGCCTTCACAGCGCAGTCAGCTGCTCCGCAATTTGTGTTGTCGCACACGCCTGTTGGGACATTAGGGGTTGTAGGGGTCAGAAGAGAAAGGGTTGTGCCTATGAGCGTGCACTCACCCTCACACCTGCTCTCACCCTAACACCAGCACTCACCCCAACTCCTGCACTCACCATAACACCCGCACTCGCCCTAACTCCTGCACTCACCATAACACCAGCACTCGCCCTCACACCAGCACTCATCCTCACACCAGCACTCACCCTAACACCAGCACTCATCCTCACACCAGCACTCACCCTAACACCAGCACCAATCCTCACACCAGCACTCACCCTAACTCCTGCGCTCACCCTAACACCCGCACTCACCATTGCACGTCTTGTCTTGATCGTTGAAGACAAGACCCTCCCCCCCCAAAATCCCCTGATCCCACTCCCACTTTCTCCCCCACTATCTCCCCCACTATCTCCCCTTTGATTTGATTCCAGCTTTATCGAGTGTAGCGTATGAGCTCACACGTGCCCTCCCAGTAGTTTCTCTTAGGCAAACGATGCAGCATCACGTCCCATGGCCATGTCCCTCACACTAGCAGTTCGGAATGACAAGCCTCATGCACCTGACTGGGTGACGCCGACACTGAAAGATCTGAGAGATGGGCGTCAATGAATTGCGCACTTAGTTAAGCGTCTTACCGGTGCTGATTTCGCACTTGACTGAACCCGGCAACTCGGAGGCAGTGAAAGCCCTGGAGTGGGAGGGAAGGGGGAAGGCGGAAGGAGATCATGGTCCACATAGTCCACAAGGTCCACATAGTCCACATGGTCCAAATAGTCCACATGGTCCACATGGTCCAAATAGTTCACATGGTCCCCATGGTCCACATAGTCCACATGGCCCACATGGCCCACATGTCCCACATGGCCCACATGGTCCGGTGAATCACTAGTAGACAGACAACTCCCTGCCGTTGGCACAACGCAGCCCAGACACAACAATGGAGATCGTGGAGCTGGTGCCCCATGCACCAGAAATACTATTCATGAGCGAGGGGACCCACCTCAGGAATCCATGTTCGATACGTGACTACAGTCTGGTGAATGATTTGGAATGTGGAGCTCTGTGCCCCTTTCCAGGAAGAAACAGACTCACCGTTCCGTGGCAGGGTAGGCGCCGCCGACACTCAAGGGGCGCGCGAGCGTGAGGCTGGGGCTTCCCCTGCAGCCCAGGTCGGAGTAAAAGGAGAGACTCCTGCATGCACTCATGGCGGCCGCAGCTTGCTGCTGCTGCTGCTGCTGCTGCTGCTGAGTATCGTTGCTGCCAGCTAGAACTTTCTCACTAACGCTGTTGCCAGTAAGAAGTTGCTCTGTATTGCCGCCCCCCGTAAGAATCTGCTCATTGCCACTGGAAGTGAGAATTTGCTGAGTGCCGCTGCCAGTGAGAATCTGCTGAGTGCCACTGCCAGGAAGAATCTGCTCTGTACTGCTGCTGCTTGGTAGAAATTGCCCGGTGCCGCCACTGGTGAGAATCTCCTGAGCACCGCTGCTGCCGGTGAGAGTTTGCTGAGTGCCATTGCTGGCGTGAAGCTGCACAGTACCACTGGCGCCACCAGCGATTTGTTGAGTACCACCCGTAAGCATTTCCACAGTATTGCCGGTGTCGGTGATTTGCTGAGTACCACCCGTAAGCATTTCCTGAGTATTGCCTGTGCCAGAGAGTTGCAGCATACCGCCGCTGCCAGAAAGATTTTGCTGAGTATTGCTGATATGAAATGGCTGAGTAGCACTGGTCAGAACTTGCTCAGTATTGCCGGTGCCGGTGACATGCAGCGTACCGCCGCTGCCAGAAAGATTTTGCTGAGTATTGCTGATATGAATTGGCTGAGTAGCACCGGTCAGAACTTGCTCAGAATTGCCGATGCCGGTGACTTGCAGAGTACCGCCGCTGCCAGAAATAGTTTGCTGAGTATTGCTGATATGAAATGGCTGAGTAGCACTGGTCAGAACTTGCTCAGTATTGCCGGTGCCGGTGACATGCAGCGTACCGCCGCTGCCAGAAAGATTTTGCTGAGTATTGCTGATATGAATTGGCTGAGTAGCACCGGTCAGAACTTGCTCAGAATTGCCGATGCCGGTGACTTGCAGAGTACCGCCGCTGCCAGAAAGATTTTGCTGAGTATTGCTGATATGAATTGGCTGAGTAGCACCGGTCAGAACTTGCTCAGTATCGCTGGTGCCGTTGACCTGCAGTGTATTGCCGGTAAGGGTTTGCTGAGTACCGCCGCTGCTGCCGGCGAGAATCTGCTGGGCGTCACCGCTGCCGGCAACAAATTGCTCCGTGCTGCCCGTGACGGCAACAGATTGCTCCGTATTGCCGCTGCTGGTGACAAGTGGCGCAGTGTTGCCAGTAACGGCCTGCTGAGACGTACTACTATCGCCAGTGCTGACGACAACGACGTCTGGCGACGCGTTCCATGCGACGCTCAGGCTGATGTCGCCCGCCGCCCCTGCGGCGACGAGGAGGTCGCGCGGCACGTCGTTGCAGAGCGCCGCGGCGCTGAAGGACATCGCGATGGGCTCGCCGCCCCCGGTCGCGCTGGCGTCCTTTGCGCCGGTAAAGCTGACGACCGTTCCGAGTAGCGGCTGTGGGTCTGACGGGGGGCCGTCAGTGGGAGTCACACGGGGGAAATGGCAAGGCGACAAAGGAGGAAAGGGATGGCGGAGAGCGAGGATTAGAAGAGGCATGTCCCAGTTGTGAGCTGATACTAGTAGCAGGCCAGCAGCGCGTGACGCGAAACGGGAAAGAACACGACGTGCAAGTGTGTGACGCGAAACGGGAGAGAACACGACGTGCAAGTCGTGTGACGCGAGGGTAAGGAGTTTCCGTGTTGAGTGCAGGGGAATGGCGGACGCGGGAAGGCGGACGCGGGAATGGCGGACGCGGGATGGCGGACGCGGGAATGGTGGACGCGGACGAGGCGCAAATGGCAAAAGCCGTGAATCCAGCCAGTGAAAATCACCCGTTACATAGTGGTGCGCGCTGCACGACTGCGCGTTGCACGACTGCATCCCAAAAAGATGCCAGTTGCGTGTTGCACGACGGCGCTCAGACTCGTGAAGCGCGCCGAAAAGCTGCATGCGTCGATGACTCGTTGGAATCGCACTTCTTAGGATATCGGATATCCTCCGAATTCCGGTGACGAATCGCGGAAAAAATAGCGGAAGCGGCGCCAGATGTTGGATGACTCCATCGGATGGCGCTGGATGCGCTGGGACTCGCTACGAGGGCCTCGGTTATCCTCCAGCCCTCTCGCTACAACCGAGGTACGTGGCGAGGCGAAGAAATCTAGTTTTGACGCGCCACACAACTATCATACTTCTATCACACGAATTTTGACGCCTCGGACTCGATGAAAGCTTACCAGTGGCACTCGATGTCGCTACGAAGATGATTGCGACGAGGCCGAAGGCCGAGGCGAGGCGAAGGGCGAACCCGTGGTGCTGCATGGCGAGAAAATCTTGACGAACGGGAGGCTGGACTCCGAACGTTTAAAGGGAAGGAAAAAAAGCGAGCTTTCGTTTGAAAGGGCTTCAGATTGAACCTCGTGGAACACGCTCCGTTTTTTTTTAGATGCCGCTGACAGTAGCGGCGATTGTGCTACAAACGAGTATGCTGGATGTGATAGCCCCGATGTGCTGTTGACGAACCAGAGTCGACGAACGAGTGACACGATGATTCGTGTAAGAGATGAGAAGAAAAGCAGTGGGAAAGCAGTAGCACTGATGTGAGGGGACTGCGATATTGAGTGGAGGGGGCTGTGGCGATGTTGAGTGGAGGGGGAACCAATTTCTATTGTGCTGCTTCCATGGGAAGAAAGTCAATGTTGCAATGCAATGCCTTGCTTGGATCGCGTTGTGTTGCTGCTTGCGCTATCTGCGCAAAGCTAGACCCAGACGAATGCGCGATTCGAACTGAATGCTGAATCCCGTACAAGCGACGCTGGCCTGGGTTAGGGAAAGTTTATAGTAGATGTCATCCCGAGAAAGTGTCATCCGAGAATGATGGAAACCCATCCCAACCGTTGAGGTTTTGAAATAACGGTTGAGATGAGTTTCCAACATTTCTCGGATGACACTTTTTCGACATGACACCTAATAGAAACAGCCCTGATCAGATTGGGAACTGGGGACTCGAGGGGTGCACAAAGTAGGGTGTGATGCTTCAGCCAAGCACCCCCAAGCTGCACAGCCCGAGTTGCGCATTTCTTGCCAAAACAGATAGGTAGAGCCTTCAACAGAGTGGTTGAGAGGGATAACCGTCGCGAGTTGGGCAACTCAGCCAAGTTGCGCAACCCGGTTTTTGCAGAAGTACCACGCCCATAGGCTCAAGAGCCTTCACGCCAATGTGAGATAGGAGTTTGGTCGGTAGCGCTGTTTAGCGCGTGGAAATTCTCAGTAGCGACTCTACAGCGTTTCCGGGCAGAAACAAATAACAATACCCTACCCAAACGCGTCTAGTGTCGAGCCATGCTCCCTATGTGACTCTGAACGTGAGCACGTTCACTGCCGTGGAGCCCGCCGCTTCTTCCGGCTCCGAACCTCGGACCAAACCTTTAGCCTCGTTGCCATTCTGTACAGAAGTACAGTCTGTTGGTAAAACATCTTTGCTTGGGAAGTCTAGTCTAGGCATCGACTCATATCCAAGTCCCTAAATTAGAAACTATTGTGACTTCCTGGGATGTCACAAGAAGATACAGTAGATTTTCTGTTGTTATCGGTGTTCAAGTGAAAGAATGTATAGAACAAGGCATACAAGGGAATATAGCCTAATGGGTTGTACTCCCTAAGGCACAACCCTATACAGTCTACAAAAACATACAACATATGTTTGACACACCCCCTAGACTGGATAGGGGGAGTGCCCGATGAGACAGAAACAGCTCAAGGTGGCACTACTAGTCCAGCCTCAGAGGCAGGGGTCTAAAGACCAGTCAAACAAGTACAGACAAGGTAAGAGCAAGACCAGGGTGACACTACTAGTCCAACTACTGGAAAGAGGCCACAAGGCCAGTCAGGGTAATATATATAAAGGTCTGTACACAATCAAGGTCCTAGCAAGTGAGAGGCTATAGGAAGGAGACCTAGCTGTACACAGTGCCGCTGATGATCTTTACGCGCAAGCGCCTTGGTAAAGATATCAGCTGTGTTGGCACATGAAGCCAAGTGTAATACACGAGCCTGGCGACGCTGCTGCAGCTCGCGCAGGAGGAAGTACCGCAGTTGGATGTGCTTCGCTCTGTCCTCAAGTCGTGGCTTCTGACACAGGAGGATCATAGTCCTGTTCTCAGCGTACAGAACCGAGGCGAGCTAGGCAGCTCACCCAAGTCGGTGAGCAAGAAGGTCAGCCAGCGGAGCTCCAGTGCCGACATGGCACCTGCGTAGATCTCAGCCTCATAGCTAGACTGGGCAACAGACAAGGAACGGGTGGACCTCCACGAAATGGCACCTACACCAAGGCTAAAGGAGTAGTCCTGTGAGGACCTGAGAGTCTCAGCGTCGTCTGCCCAAGAAGCGACTGTGCGCCCGGTAAGGACCACTGGTCTCCGTCCTCCTAGCACTAGCCCCATGCCCAATGTACTTGCTAGATAACGCAAAACCCTCTTAGCTGCCGACCAGTGTTGTGGTTGGTGTCTGCTTGGGGCCACAAAGCGAGCCAGGATGCTGAGAGGGTACGCGAGATCTAGACAAGTGCAAGTCATCAGGTACATGAGGCAACCCACTAGCTCTGCGTAGGGACCACTAGGCTCTACAGCCTCCTCAGAGACTAGGATCTCTCTGAGGATGTCCCTGAGGAGTGATGTAGAGTGATGGTGCGCGCTGCTCTGTCCCTGGAGATCTGCAAGCCAAGGTAGCGGCGCAGCTCTCCTAGGTCAGTGCAGGTGTGTCTCCTCAGCAGCTCGGCCTTTACGGAGGTTAGTGTGTCTCTATCTGCAGTAGCAAAGAGCATATCGTCTACGTAGACAAGGATGTAGAACGGAGTCTGGGAGGAACAGACAAAGAGCGAGGGGTGTCCAGAGGAAGGGAAGAATTGCAATTCAACAAGTGTAGCACGCAACGTGTCGTGCCACTCACAGGGCGCCTGTCACAAGCCGTAGACGGGGCGCCGGAGGAGCCAGTTGGTGCCAGCGGGGAAGGTACCGGAGAAGCCCTGGGGGCGGCGTAGGTAGACACGCTTGTGTAGACTGTCCTGAAGGAAAGCTGGGGAGAATTCGAGGGAGTGCATCTGGTATTCATGCTGTGCTGCTACGTATAGCAGTGCCCGAATAGTGGTTATCTTCAGGGTCGAAGCGAAGGTCTGAAAGAATTCCACCCCCTCACGCTGACTGAAGCCTCGAGCGACGTAGCGCGCCTTGAAGACAGGCGGCTCTCCAGGAGGGCGCTTCACCTTGAAGAGCCATCGGCCATCGACTACGTTCACCCTAGGTGGGGGAACTGCGTCGACGAAGGTACTAGTGGATCTCCAAGATGCCATCTCCTGCTCCATGGCAGCTATCCACTGAGAGGCCCAGGGTTCCGAGGTGGCCTCAGCTTAAGTGCGAGGGGTCGGGATGTGGAGGGCGTCAGGGTCACCCTCAGGGACTAGTAGCATGGAATAGAGATGGGGAGCGGCCTCAGACAGGAGAGTGAGCTCGAACAGCCTATCCTCTAGGACGTCATTGCCAAGAGCAGCCACACCGTCGACGGTTGGAGGGCAGGCAGGGTGAGAGACTAGAGCGGTGGCGTAGTCTAGGCGGCGAGTAGCGGCGAATTCATTGACAGCAGCGACAAGAGCCGACAGACTCGAGACAGGAACGGACAGGTTGGTAACGAGAGAGGCAAGGACACGAGGAACAAGGGGACGCGTATCACGGAGGAAGTCGGAGAACGGAGGCGGGCCCACAGCAAGTGACGACAGAGGAGGCGACGAAAGGAGAGGAGGAGCACGAAACACGTGAGAGCGAAGCAACATAGGGTGAGAACGTGGAACAGGGGAGGTAGGACGAGCACGAGACGGACGACGTAACCAGACGTGAGACGGAGGAGTCGGGGCAGGAGCGAAAAGAGGAGACACAGGAGGAGAACGGGGAGGGAAACAAGCCGGAGAGGAGTCCGGGGGAGGAAACACGGGGCCGTGGACTGGCAGAGAATGAGGCGGCAGCAGCGGGGGAGGCAGCAACGGGCGGTTAGGGGAAGGGAGACCGGGGAGGCGAAGAGCGGACACCGGCGGGGTCAGCTGCGACTGCTGCCCGACTCCAACACCAGAACCTCCAGCAACAACACGGCTCCTTCCGAGAAGCCCTATGCCAGCACCCCCAGAGCCCGCTCCAGAACCAGCTCCAGCCTGCTCCCCAGCACCCCCAGAACGTACAAACCCCAGTGGCGGTGATGACGGTGGCTGCGGCTGCGATGGCAGCGATGGAGGCGATGGCGGCGGGGACAGCAGCGGCGGCGACAGGGGAGGCGAGACCAGGGCAGGGACAGGCAGGGGAAGAGACTCCGCGGAGCCGCGAGAATCAGTGGACTCCTCAGCAGGGACAACTTACGGGAGGGGATGACGTGAGACACACCAGACAGGGCAGGGAGGGGAGGGGAGTGGACAGGGTTGACCGGGGGAGGGGGGGGGACTTGGAACTGCGGGGGAGTGACCAGGGGACCACGGCGGGGAAAGCGGTGGTAGAAGGAGACGGACTCATCAAAAGTGACATCACGAGAGTGAAAGAACCGGTGAGAAGGCGGATGGTAGAACTGCCAGTCCGACGAGTCGAGGGGGAAATCTAGGAAGACATAGGGGACAGTGCGGGCAGTGAGCTTGTCCGTGCCAGAGGCATGAGCGTGAGCAAGGCAGCCTGAGACGTGGAACGCAGACGCGTCACCAGGGGACCTGGTCCAGAGGAGGGTCGGCGAAACCTGCGATCGCGGAGGGTGCGACCAGAGGTTATGCTGATGAGCGGCGTAGCGAACGGCGAACGGCCACAGAAAATGGGGTGCGCTGGCATGGATCATGGAGGTACGAGCAACCTCCATGACCAAACCGATGCGTCGCTCATCGACCCCATTCTGCTGCGAGGAGTCCAGCAGGGTGAACGTCTGGGTGATGCCCTCCGCACGACAAAAGCGACCAAGGCAGCCAGAGGCAAACTCGCCACCACGGTCGGAGTGAAGACGCAAGACAGGGAGACCTCGGTGAACACGCGCAGAGACAAGCCATGGGTGAAGAACGTCCGGCACGTCGGCCTTCCGCTCCAGGGGAAAGACGGTGGTGTAGCGGGCATAGTCATCGACAAGCACTAGGAAGTAGCACTCGCGACGCGGCCCATGGATGGGGGCGGGGCTCGAGACGTCCATGTGCAGGGTCTGCAACAGTGCGGAGGTAGAAGGAAACGAGGAGGAGTGAGGGGCACGGCGGAGCCGGCCCTGGACACAGGGCGTGCACGGAGGCGTGGGTGAAGAGGGGAGCGCAGGGAACGACTCAGGGAGGCCTAGGACAAGACGGTGCTGGGACATGTGAC